TTGTTGATTGTAAATCGACTTAAATTAAAACGTCCAGCAGTGGTTGTGTCTCTTCGTTTGAAGTCATTGTTGGGCTTTGTCCCTAAGAGGGACCATTTTTATTTTCTAACTTTATGTTGCCTTGCAGGTTGTGGATAAGAACTCATCTGTCTCTATAACCATGACAAACACCTAATTTTCTTTTAAGTTTTTCTCCGATTTGTACTTGTACTTTATTGTTGTAACTAGAACTACAATTATACTTGCTTGTACTTTTGTAACTCTAAAAAAAAAAACAGTATATAAAGTTAGCTATGGATGCAACATAAATCATCCGATTGGATCAATTAAGCATGCCAAAAATATTACTCCTAGGAAGTAGAGGTTTGGGGTGTGTGTTTGGTATTTTCATGATCAATTATCATCTTTTGTGTTTAATCAAACTAATTATACATTTTAAATTATAAAAAATAACTATTATTAACCTTTAATATCAACTATCTACTTGGCCAAAATATATATTTATCAATTATTAACTATCAATTAAATTTAAACAATTAATATAAATACATCTTTTATTTCATCTTTTTCTCTCTAGTTAGACTCTTGGAGGGAAGTCTGGCCCATTTCGGGCGGTTTAGATTGAAATTGAAAATGAAACAGAGAGGCCCGGCCCAACCCACCGTTGCTGGACAGGCTGAGCAACATAGCTCCAAAAAAAAGGGAAGAAATGCGGATTGAAGAAAAGATGTTTGAAACGAATTTGTTCATTTTTTTTCTTTTGTATTTTCTCCATTCCTAATCGTATTCCCCCTTTTATATTTTTGGTTAAATCCCCATACCCAAGTTCAGGATTTTGCATCCATTTCAATTTTGCACTTTTTTTTCTCCTCAATTTAAAATTCTGCACTAAATTTGTACTTCTTATTTTTTAATTAAAAATTACGTGGAAATGAAGTGGCATATAAATCTTTAAAATTGTATTTGAGAATATGCATTTGCATTTAAGGTTTGTATTTTAAATATATTTATTTAAAAAATAATTATTTTAAATTATATTTATATATTTTAAAATAAATTATTTGGATTAAATAAAGAAAAATGAATTTGAATTACATGTATTTAAAAATATGTTATTTAAATATACTACAATATTGTGTATTTAAAATTGAATTTCATGTTAAATTAAATCCTATCTACTTATTTAAATTGAATCTTTATTTCATTAATAAAAGAATTACATATACTTTTTATTTTCAAATATTCAACTATTATTTAAATTCTCTCAAAATTAAAAACTAAATGTATTTTAGAAAAAGAAAATATTAATCTTCTTATGAAGAAGAACACAATAGATTAAAATCTTAATTTTAAGAATTTGTAATAAAATTCTTGAATTTAATAAAAATTATAAAGGAAAAAAGTAATAAAATTTAAGAAAAAAATTAAAAAATCAATACATGAAAACACACACCAAAAATATATATACATTTTTTAATTCTCTAGATAGATTACCATCCTGCAACCAATGAATCTTGCCCTAAGATTTTGTTAAGGATGGATTTTATCTTGATGAAATACAAAAAATTCAAAAATTGAAATTTATGGATTAAAAAATATATTTAAAATATATATAATTTAAACTCCAAAATGCATGGTGTCAAATACATATATTTGAATTAAATTCAAATACATTGCATTTAAGTAAAAATAAACAATTTTTTTAAATTTGAGGTTTCAAATTTAAATACACTTTAAATAAATTTAGGTTTCCAAACAAATCGAAAAGATTATTTACATGAATCTTTTAATCCTGCATGGAAAGTTGATTAAAATTAAAAATAAAAAATAATTACAAAAACATAAATCTGCATATTAACCCTTAAATCATTAATATTTTTTCAAACTCATCTTCGGCTCTTCTTCCTTTCCCTCTCCCCTCACTTACTCGCAGACCATTCTTCCCTGTTCTCTACCCTTCCTTCTCAGTCAAGCATTCCTCTTTTGACTGCATAAGCTAATTGAAAAGTCCTGGGGGGGCGTTTTTTTTTCTTCTTCTTTGACATTGGTTCACTTCTGTCCGAGTTGTAAGCAATAACACGCTTAATTATACAGTCAAAAAGAAAGTTAGAGATCCAGGAGAAGAGTGGGATTGGCTTAGCTTGAGTTCTTAGTCG